TTGGTTCAAACCCTATGACTGTTGAACTGAACCTTAAAATGAGGTGTGATACTGGTCATGGGGTGCAAGTGTTACCTGTCTCTACGAACAGACATTTGAAAGGTTTGAGGAGCATGGTAGGAATGAAGGGTTTTCCCAATGAGATATATGTAGAAACAGTGCCTATATGTACCCAACAAAGTACTCGAGCAGAACAGCAAGCTACATATGTCTCTGATTACAACACCGCGTCCTTCCAAGAGCCCGCAAACCACATTCCATCGAATGCATATGGGATGGGTTCTTTCACTCGAATGATGCAGGACGACCAATTTCACTTGCCTTTTAGTTCTCATATAGCTTCACCAGTACATGCGGGGGGACGCGTGACAGTGTTCGGCCAGCCTGCTCCGTCGTTATCGAACACCGTGGCATCTTCGCCGATGCAATTGCATAGCTACTCTCCTATGCAAGGTGATGATGGTTCACCGTTTCGAGAAGAGCCAAATCAATTTTGATGATGTTGTGAATAATGAATTGTTGTATGATGTGTATGCGGAAATGGATGATGAGGACGAGAACGGAGAGGGGGATGATGAACCTACACAGGTGGAAGATGGTCAGCCGTTGGTTAGAACTCCCATACCTTGGTTCAGTGAGGTACCCGAGAACTATGAAGTTGATCAGTATTGGGCCGAATCGGGTAGCCACACCTCTTTTGTTCCCGGGGGAGAATTTGAGAAGGGAATGTATATTGAGAGCAAGAAACTGCTTCAAGAAATGGTGAAGATGTATTCTATTCAGAGGAATCAATTCTACACCACAGTGACCTCGAATGATGGTGTCCTACATCTGCGATGCAAGAAGAAATGTGGTTGGATGCTACGGGGTACCAAATCGAGTGAGCACTCATGTGGTTTTACCATAGTCACGTACAAAGGCCCGCATCGGGAGACATGTATCAGTGAAGTACTATCTAATGATCACCCACACTTGGATTCGTCCGTAATAGCCGAGTATGTGAAGTCCTTTGTGCGGAAAGATCCTTCGTTGAAAGTGGAATTCATACAGGAACTGATCTCGAAGCAATTTCATTTCGATGTCCCGTATCGACGAGCGTGGTATGCCAAGGAGAAAGCTATAGCTGAGATATTTGGGGATTGGGAGAGTTCATATGGCAGACTTCCCCACTTCATGCAAGCACTCCTACGGTCGAACCCGGGAACATGTGTCGTATGGAAACACAAAGCTTTAGTGGATGGTGTATACTACAGCAACATGGAAGTGTTTGAACGAGTGTTTTGGATTGGTTGTGCAGGTTCTCGGGGTGCAGCCGGGTCCCAACGATGTTAGGGGATCCGCCTTGAGGACGGTCTGGTTACGAGATACTTTCCAGGGCTTGCCTGCGGACGCCGATGACGCCACAGTACAGAGATACGCTCGAGCGTACTTGTTCTTCCTCATATCCGGCGTGTTGTTCGGCAACAAGAGCGGGAGCCACTTGCAGCTTATTTACCTAAAATGTTAGACCACGACTGGGAGCATATCCGTGGATACAGCTGGGGTAGTGCCTCTTTGGCGGTGTTGTATCGCCAACTTTGCAGAGCCTCACGGAGTGGTGCGCTCGAGATTGGAGGACCTCTGTTTGTGCTTCAGGTATACTACGTATATTATCACAAGCGAATTATGCAATGAGTAATGTCATATTTAACATAGTTTTGTGTTTTGCTATTGAAACTATGGGCTTGGGAGCACATCCACGTAGGAAGACCAGGTAGGCCTGCTGTACATCGTCCGGGGCAGCAGGACCAGGATGACCAGTACGAGCCGTACATCGCTCCGCCTCGCCCTGCAGCTGATGAGGCTTACGGTTGCAGGTTTGTAACAATTGTCATTTTTTTTTCCCATATACGATTTCATTTTGTAAACATACTTACCAAATTTGTTGCCCCAGGTGGATGGTCCCCAAACTCACACAGGCACATGCGGCGACGGGTCTCCCATACTACCGAGACTCCCTTGATCGACTCACTGAGGATCAGGTACAAACTCTGAAGACATTTGTAATCATTTAGGTACTGTGTATACTGATTGTGGACTAACTTATTTAGGATGTGTTATTGCAGATCACATGGGATCCGTATGTACCGGAGTTGGTAGATGTCATGCCTCTACTGGAGCATCAGGGAGAGTGGCGTGCCCGGGTCCCCCTGATCTGTTTCGAGGTTGTGGAGAGTCACCTACCTGATCGCGTCATGTGACAGTTCGGACTGCAGCAGCCTATTCCCCAGAACTGTGACACTGTCGTGCGCCTTCACGACATTGACCGTCGGGGAAAGACGGAGACAAACTGGGCACTGGAGCATTGGCAGTATCTTCAGCTATGGGAGCAGCGGTTGGGTCATATCGTTCAGGGTTATCCCATGCAGGGCGTTATGGATCATGATGATCCGTACATGGTGTGGTACAGGCTTATCACACGCCGTTTCATCAACCCCAGCTACACACCACCGTCCATCCATTACCACCCGACACATGACGTCATTAGCGGATATGTGAGTTTCTTTTACTATACTTATCATCCTCATTTTTTAAATATCATGTACTTGACTGATCGATGATTACTACAGGCGGCGGATATGGTGGCGATGTATGATGCACTGTCCCTCGCCCTTACAGACGGACCCACCAGAGCCCAGGTCCAGCGGATGCGAGATATGTCCGCGACTTCCTTACGCAGACATGGTCACGGTCATCTCATCCAACAGCGGGACGGTGATGATGGTCACTCCATCCATTCGCGGTTCGACCTCGGCTAGAGTAGCAGTGGAGGTGATCCTACGTTGCACACAGAGGAAGAGGAGTACATCTTCCACAGTTCTGCACCCTTCAGAACCCAGGAGGACGCATCGTCCAGCCAGCTCACTCCCCCCCCCCCCCCCGCACCGGAACCCATTCACCACCATTCACCATTACACTCGGCGTCGTCCAAGACGAAGGGACGACAATGAGGCTAGGGAAGGGTTACACCAAATTGATGAGTAGTGAACGTATTGTATCATTGTTTTGTCCTTTTTCCTGGAATGTTGTATATAACGATTGCATTATCAATATAAGACATGCTGGTTGAATGAATCTGTTTGTGTTTTGAAGTTCTGTTTGCTTATTTATCCAAATCGGATTTATGTCAGTCAAAATAGATCCTTCAGGGCTAATGTACATTAAACAACAGACATTTGGAATCCATAGTCGAAAATGGGGAAGAAAGGATGGCCCGTGGTGGTTAATGTGGTTGTTCATGGTGGTTTTAGTGTTGTTGGTTGTGGTGGGTGGTTATCGACGGTTGTTGAATGGTTGGGGTTGGTGGTGGAGCTGGTTGAAGTGTTGTTGGAGGTCAAAAGGGGTGGCAGATGGTGGTCGATGGTGGGGGTTGTTGGTGGATTGTGGTGGCAAGAATCATGGCAGGGGGTGGTGGGTGGGGGCAGAAGAAAGTGGCAGATCAGTGGCAAAAGGTTGATTCTGCTGCTGTTTTGCACACCAGCAGAGAAACGCTGTCCCAGACAGCGTTTTAGGTTGAAAATAAGACGCTGTCTGAGACAGCGTTTTAGGTACAAGGAAGGTTGTACATAAAGCGCTGTCTGGGACAGCGTCTTTGGTATAACTGTTTTTGTTTTTTAAAAACATTTTTATAAATAAAAGGCAATTACAAAATTTTTTTAAAAAAAAGGTCAACAACAAAGACGCTGTCCCAGACAGCGTTTTTAGGTTGATTTTTTTTTAAAAAAAACCCAGGCATAAAACGCTGACCGAGACAGCGTTTTAGCCTGGAAGCTTAGTTTGGTAAATACTTTTGCCACGCAACCATTTTGGTTAATATTTGCCAAAATTGGCTCACTTTGGAAAAACGTCCCTTTTTCTCTCTAGAGTTTTCTAAGCTACTCCGTAGTTTATAGCTCTTAACCTTTGACAATTTTTCCTTAAATTATAACCGCTATTTTTTTTTATGTAAAAATTAAGGAAAATTTGCAAATTACCACCCAAAAATAGTATCAATTTCTAAATAACCACCCATTAAAAAATTTATTTTAAATTACCAGCCACTAAAATATTTAATTACGCAGATTACCACCCTTTTTAAATTTCCGGTTGATTTCAGGTGTGTGGAGCCCACAGTCGCTATTGCCCTCCTAATTTTTTTTATTTTCTGTCGATTTCACTATTGTAAGCTACTCCTCTCTCAATTCTCTCAGTCAATTCTCTCTGCAAATTCACCTAACTCCATAAATTCTCACCCACTCTTCAAATTTAGATCCTAAATTGCAGATTAAAACCCTAAATTAGTTTAAGTTGAGAGAAAAATTTGCTCCTGTGTAATTGGGGTTTAGCTTGAAGGTTGTTTGCGAAAATCACCATTGTTAGGGCGTCTGTTGGGGACCACGTGCTGAGTTCATTCACCTGACAATTGCTTGCTGTCAATGGCGACGTCAGAGGTTAGCATTTAATCAACAAGTTTTCCCCAATTTCAGCAAGTTTTCCCCAATTTCAGCACAATTAGAACCCTAAATTTCAGCACAATTAGAACCCTAAATTTAAAGAATGTAATAGGTTACCTGATGCGAATTCACCTCTGAGGTTTCTTCAAGATGTTACAGCAATTACAAGGGGCTGAAATTTGAGGAATTTGGGGAAACTTTGAAGTCCAAATCGCAAATTAGGTTAGGAGAAATGTTATATAGGGGGGAAATCGGGGGGAAATTCAATTGGGAAGGAGAAACTAGCCGTTAGGAGGGCCCCACTCATCTGAATTCCACCGGATTTTGAAAAAAGGTGGTAATCTGCATAAAAAAATATTTTAGTGGGTGGTAATTTAAAATAAAATTTTAAATGGGTGGTTATTTAGAAATTGATACTATTTTTGGGTGGTAATTTGCAAATTTTCCAAAAATTAATAGTAAGTCAAAATTGACATTGTTTGACAAAGAAGATACGGTAGAGAGAGGTGGGAAAACTAAAACCAAAGTATATTCTTATACATCAATATTCGACTTCAACTTTCGTGTAACACAGAAAAGCATAATCTAACATCTACCATTCTCAATTTCTACCTCATAAATTTCTGCTTGTCGTGCAATTTTTTCTTCACACCTCTATTTCTTCATTCATCTTCAGCTACCATATTTTCCCCCTTTCTCAAAATTCACGAACCCTAATTTACGACATACTAAAATCAGGGACAAGTTCTTCTCAATTTCTTCGTTTTAATCATGGCTACCTCTGACATTTTCCAGAAAGACAAAGATTTGCTTCTTTATACCTCCATTTTCGGAGATGATGAAGGTTTGAAACCCATTTCCAGGATATTTTTCATAATTTTTACGCTTAATTATTATCTGTTATCCGCAGATTTTACTTGCTGAAGATTAATTTTGTGATGATTTTGTATTCATTTTTTTTTTTAATTTTTTTGTTGTTGTTGCAGGAGATACAGTAAAATCTCGGGGCGCTTTGATTGAGAAGAAGATCGAAATGCTCGAGGGCTTAGCTTCCAATGTAAATTTCCTTTCGTTTTCCGTACTATGATTTTCTGATTATTCATGAGTTGCATTTTATGCGAGTTAAAATGTCAAATGTTACTGTTGTTTTTCACTTAAATATTTTCTGTTGATATGGAAGCCGAAGCCTGTCATTATGTTTTCCATGATAGCTATTTTATGTATTCTGCGTATAGAAAGCCGCAAAGGGATGAGGTAAACGGGTTGGGTTCCCGTTCTTGATGGTTGTATAATTAGCTCATAACTAATATCTCTGATACTCTGATGGTTGTGTGTATCCTAAAGTAATCTATCTTCTTCCCAGTTGTTCTTCAATAGTTTTATTCCGTATTTTGTGGTCAAACTTCATTCTAACAAGTGTCTATCTTTACTATTTTTCGTATAAAAAAAGGATTATCTAAATTTTCTTTCCGTTCTTCTATCTTCATGGGGTGGGAGTCTAGATTTCATAAACTTTTGTTCTTGATTTTCATCAGTAAATGCAGACAGGCCGCATGTGCTGTAGCTAAATTTTTTTTGATGACATACTTGTGCCATAAATTAAGGTTCTTGGGCGTTTGATAAGGGCCTAGATGCCCTTAGGTCCCCAAATTGCTCCATCCCATGTCTTGTGAATGTTGTTGATAAGAGGTGTAGCTATAATTGTTTGTGTTCTTTTGCCCCATGAATTTATTGCTCTTGTTTGGTGATTATTATTTAGCAGTTGCTAATGTTGACGATGGAAGTTGTGTAGTGAATTTTCATTAAGAAATGATTGTCGTTATCTATTAAAAGATTGATAAATTAACGTAAATATTGTGGAGTAAATGACTACTTTGTTTGTTAATGATTAGTTTGTGTTAGTTTATGTAATACTTCCTCTGTTTTTATTTAGTTATTAGTTGACACATTTCATTTAGGCATGTTTGCCAAAATGCCAACGCATACTTTCATATATAAATATCTTTAATTGCGTATTAGCAAAAATATAAAATTTTGATATTCGGAAACTAGACGTTGAGACGAAACTAACAAGACCCTACATGACTTTTTTTTATCTAGCACTAAGTCACAAAACAAAGTTAAAGTAGGTTATATGAATAGTGCAAAACGTGTCATCTAAAAAAAACGGAGGTAGTACCTTTTTTTTTTTTTTAATTAAATTAAAAAATAGCCGAGCATCATTTAGTACTAAAGTTCAGTCGGGTGTGCTCAAGTGATAAAGCATTCATTGTACAACATCATGTTTCTTTTTAGTTGCATCACTTTCCTAAAACGGAAGTTTCAAATTAGTTGTATCACCTATCTTTGTAGTCAATAAACTCTATCTATCTCTCTCCTATCACATGAGTCCATTTATTATTCCCTAGGAATCTGCAATTTGTAAAGTGATGCAACTAAAAAAAATAGAGGAAGTACTCGTTAAAATATAAAAATTCAAATAAATCAATAACAATCCATCCATATATCTTATATGCACAATATGAAAACAAGAGTTGCATAATATCAATTGAAGCATAAACAACTAACATTAGATCGTTTTTCTAAATGAAACTATACCACTGTTAATAATACTCTCAGCATAAGGATTAGACAAATCGCCCCATTCACTTGGTAGAAGGATCTACCAAATTCTAAAAGGATCAGTCCATGGTAAATACCACCAACATCCTCTGTATCATGACTTAAACACTTCAACTTGTCCACCTCTTCCTTTGTAGTAGGATAAACACTAGCATGACCTGCACATATGAAGATATAATTGAAACTAAATCGCTATGGTTATCACCCATAGACAAAGAGGAGGGTTTGGGGTAAATCTCTACGATGGTGTATCTAAAATAAGAGATCTAAATTGGTATTTCTTTTGCCTTTGGTCAAAGGTATACCTTACAGGTAGAGTTTAGGGAGTCTAGCTATATTGAATCGGGATTTTGATGTAGACTGAGAATGATAGGATTATGATTTATGCTTCATGGCTTGTGGGAAAGATTAAGACTTTCGGACTTTGGTATTTCATCTAGGAAAGACTTCGAAGGGGGAAAGGATCGATTGGGTCATGCAACAATATAGATTGGATGATAAAATGCTTGCTGATAAAGGCGTGCTTTAAGAATTTTTTGAAAGGAGTGATTTAGGCCGAAGAGTGTAGAAGGCTATGGGTTTCGTTCTGCGTAAGAAGAGTGATATAGGGTGTGCTAAATAGAGGTTTCAGACTTCTGTTGCATGATATGGGTAGCAACACAAAGACATTATCAGTGGAGAAGAGCACTTGGCGTACCTATGTACAAATTATGACTGAAACTAAACCGTCGGAACTATCATTAACACAAGTATAACCTGTATTATGCTACACAAGTCCATAATCTATATCTGGCATGCGCTATCTCCCTCATTTTCCACGAAATGAGCCCTTTAGTTTCTCCATTCTTCGGCCTAATTCACTATTTCAAAGAATCCTAAGGCTTGCCTTTATCAGCAAGTAGTTTATCATCCCATTTATATTTGTACATGACCTATTCAGTCCTCTCCCTCTTCTGAGCCTTTTGCTGTGGCTTCTCCAAGTAATATCGTCGCCTTTATGGCTACTCCATACGATAAAATTGCTTCCATGGGTACTCCATATTGCAATGTTTGTGTGGATGTGCCAAATGATGTTTCTATATATGAGATGTGCCAAATGATGACAGGCTTATGTAGGAATTGCTAGTGCCTTTCCTTCTATTGAGGATCTTCTATTGAGGATGAGGTATACTGTATACAAGCTGTTAAATTGTCGATTTACAGATAATGCGTAGGGTGTTGGTGATATTTGTAAAGTCTGAGCCTTTAGAGGATTTGTCCGATCCTTTTACTTAATATATTGACTGGGGCAATTTGTCTTAGTTCTGTTTAGGAAATAAACATTTTGTATATTGGGGGCAATTATTTAAACAAATGGTGTACTTGCCAACACTAGAAATTAGTTGCCCCACTTATTCAAATACCCACAAGATACTTTACAATCTTGAAAATGAAATTTTATGAATTACCATAGTCTCAATTACTTTGACTAGGGTTTTGACTCATAATAGATTAATAGTATCTGAATTGGGTGGTTGGGCTATGCATTTACTATATTCATCCTTTTATCAATCCTTATCTAATTGTTTACTTTAATTTTTTATGTATGTATTTTATATAGGCATATGTATATTGTTTGGTACATGATGTATGCCCCTATAATTTCTTTCCAATGTACTGAATATCAAATTACAAAGTAAAAGGGGAGGTATAGATTAAGAGCCGAGGAAGAGGGATTATGATCTTGGTGTAAGAATCATGTGAGATGTGTCTTTTATTGGTTTGTACTTCATAAGGATTATGATCTTCAGTATGTTGTAGTCTCGAATAGCATATTGCTTTTTCTTAACTTTTAAGATGTTTTAGTTGAACATAGTTACTAAACTTACCGAATGTACTGTGTTACTGTCACACCTAGGCCATTTAAGTGCCCCTTTGTATGGACTATATGCTTAGTGTTATCATTCTTAATTCTCTTATTGCCCTCCCGGTTTTTCCTTTCAAATATGATGCAGGTTGGCAATCGACGGTCACGAAGATTATTGAATGACCGACTTCTAATGGAGCTTGTCCCTCGTCTCAATGCTGAAGAAATTAGGGGATTATTTGCTCCACCACCCTGGGGTAAGTTGCTTCATATTGAGAAATTTGTTTTAATATAGGCAGTTTCACCCAATGCCCTTGGTATTTAGTAAAATTCATTAGGGTACCCTTGACAAATTTGGAATTCACAAACTACCTCCAAAGCCCTCGAGGTATTCTAGGATTCCATTTTGAGACAAATCCTAAAAATTGTTTACTTTATGTGGTTGTGTGAAGTCTGGTTACTCTTTAATAACTACAAATTTCTGCCAAAGAACTTCGTTAGGGTGTTTTAACTCATAATATTGTGGTTATTTATGGTTTTTGATATTATGTAGCACTTGTATGTTAACATTAGTTGATCGGCTTTAAAGTAACATTTCCCCCATTGATGGTTTTATTTCTTGTTATTGATGTAAAGTTTGTTTCAGGTGAGGAGGTTCCATTATCATCATTTTGCATGGCAAATGTGGGGGATTGGGACAAAGTTAGGAACACAGACATGGATAAAGAGGTCATTTGCTTTCTTTCTTATCACCACCCTTTCTCGCTTCTTTTATAAAAAAAAACATCTAAGGTAATTAGATTGTGCCTTAACATTTAAGTTTCAGAAAATTTGAGGATCCTTTTGTGTCATTATGAATATTCTGGTTTGGTATCCAGATATTGACAGTAGTATGTGATTACTTGCATCAATTGCCCATTATATTGTTAATCTTGTGAGTCCTCGTAATTATGAATTATCAGGATTAGATTTCTCAAAAAAGCATTGTTCGCAAAAATATTTCGTTTCCTAAACGTGAAAACCTGGAAACTCAAAAGTAGAACTGAACTAGTTTTAACCAGACAATGTTTTGAATTTTATTGTTATCAACCAACATTTTATTCATGAAAATGAAGATTGTAATTGATAATAGCATGCACTGGAGAATCACTTCATTTAATTTTTTTTTTTTCTTTATTGTGCCATGGGCATTTAATGCCTACTATAATAGCATATTAGCATATATCTATACTATATACTAAATTAATCCCCATAATTATCCCTAAGATACACTTGGCATTACCTCATTAAAAAATTTTCCGCTTATTTTTTTTTTTTATTATTTTTTTAAAAGTAAGTTTGTTACGTTTTATCTTGTATTTAGGGAAGGGATGATGCACACCATAATAATCTTATTCTCAATAAAGTAAAGTATATAAAAAAATGTTACTTAATTGAGAATAAAATTAAGCTTTAATACTCCCGTAAAAAAAATAAAATAAAATAAAAAAAAATAAAAAAAAAATTAAGCTTTAATACTATGAATACTAAAAATCTTAGTACTCCATATTCCTTCCTTTTCACATGTATTATAATATATCACAATAAAATGTTTATTATAATTTTTTTTTTTATGTTTTTTCTTACGGACAATGATTTTGTTTTACACATTTTTAAATAAACGAATTATGAAAGTATTATTGTACTCTAAAACCGTGCATAGCACGGGTTCTAAACTAGTATATTGCTAACACTAAGTTTTGCTTTGTGGATCATTGAGAACTTGTGAACGATTAAATATTCTGCTAGGCATTCTTAGACGTGTTCCTCGCTTATTTTATTATTCTTGTTTAAACTTGAAGTATTTATTCCCTGTAAGATTATTTGAGTTACAAAAGTTGATTTTTCTTCCAGGTTTAATGCAATTTATTAGAGAAAAAGTTGAATTGTATCTATATATTATATATATTACTGAATATTAGTACAAAATATTTTGAATTGATTAGCAAATTTTGAAACAATGTATAGTTTTTTTGGTAAAAAGTAAGCTATTATTTTCTAAATAATTGGCAAGGGGACAGGCTAGTTTTGTAGGCAAAAATCTTCAACTTATGGGGAAATGCCCTCTTTCCTGTGGAATGGTCTCCTAAGGGAAGACACTATTGCCCAAGACCAAAGCAAGATATAATGAAGTCATTGAATATTGCAAAATCTCTGTGATGCATTCTCAATATCACAAGCTTTTAAATTTGGAGGATCAGCTACAGTTAGAAGTCAGTAATAGTCATTGCTTCAGCCAATTTGCATATGAAATTAGAACTGATGCCTGATTTGTACTGTGGGTAAATGCTAAATTATTGTTTATATCATTCTTGAGCAGCACTTGTTTCCAAACTTTGCAACCTCAAATAAATTTAGCAATTTCAACAACTTTTTTTGCTTTATAGGCTAACTTGTTGAAGGCCATAAGACCAATTTCTCAGAAGCGTAACAGCCCCATCGACGCTGATAAAATGGCAGTCATGAATGCATGGCATAGAATTGATTGTCGAACTAGGGAAGCTTTTCGACGTAGCTACCTACCAGAACTCGTTGAGGGCTATGAGGTAGCTGTGTATGCCATACAATTTTATTTATTTTTAGTTTTTTTTTAATTTATATTTTATTATTATTGTTTTTTTTTTAATTTTTTTTGTTTTTTTTTGTATTTTTGTATTTTATATTTTTTTTAATGTTTCTCCAGGTAAGTTTTGTGCTTATGTATTCCCCATATGTTTATGGTTTAGCCCATTCATTGATGAGATTAAAGCTTGAAGTTCATTTTAACTACATAACCTACCCTATGAATAAAAATTGAGTGGTTAAGTGCAGTTAGGCTAACTTTCAGATTGAGTTCACTCAATTTTTTTATAATTAGCTATCTAGTGTCTTTTTCTATTATTTCTTTTCTGCCGATGTGCTTTGGTGGAGGCTCTCCTCATTTCCTAAGCATATGGGCCCCTTATATTTTGCTGCACCCCGTTGTTCCTGATGTGATTAGGCCTGTGACTTGGCATGCCTTTTAAACCTAAGGTTGCCTTAGGAACATGATATTACATGAAAAAGTGTCTGATTAGCAATGAATCGACTCTGCTTGTTCTTTTTGTTCAAGTGTTCTATCATTTTTGGTGCATATTTTTAATGCGTGGTATGTGAACATTTTTGTAGCATCTTAATCGACATAGTATCTGATCCATTATATCTGCTTCTACTTTATGGGTCATACTGATTATGATAATTCGTATAAAGTCAAATTCTGAGATTTTCTTTTTTGGGTATATGTTCTTAGGGAGACTGTTAATCATAAGTTATATGCTTTGGGAAGTAAACTCTGTGAGGCCATCAAGAACATTATATTTCTGGTTTTGTTTATGTTTCTTTATGGCAGGGTAATTACTGATAAAATCTTTATATTGGCGAAATTAACCAAGTGCAGTCAATTTTTTTTTCTTCTTTTTTGTTTTGTTTTGTTTTATTTTATTTTATATTAATTTATTTTATTTTATATGACTTTATTTTATTTTTTTATTTATTGAATTTTGATTCTCCAACCTTTTGATTCCATATCGGCTTATAGTTGTTTCTGAAGCTTGGTATAGCAGTAAAATTCTGTGCTTGTTATAGTTCCTTCATCTCGCAGCTTACCTAAATTTAAATTACAAAGCCATGAGCATTTTATTTGAACATTTGTTATTGTTGCTATGCTTCCCCAACCTTTTGCAGCCCCCACATAAGTCCATTCGTGCTCCTTGTCTTGCAAATTTCTGATGCTATCATCTCTTCCCTTGCAGAATCGCATACGCTCATTTATTGGGAATGACAATGGTTCAGAAGATCTGTTGTTTCAAGTCCAAGATCCGTTCCACAGGTTGTTGCTTCATGGTGTGTGTGAGGTAATAGCTTCCCTCTTCTTTTCCGGCAGTTTGGAGCTTGTTTGTAGTACATCTTGGGTTTCTAAAAGGTATAGAGGTAAGCAGGAGTTGGGAAGTGAGGATGATATTATTATTATTTGTAAACTGGATTAGGGTTGTATTGTTTTTATGGGCAAACTAAAAATATGATCTAAATTTGAGGGACGTATAAATTCTGAGATAACTGATATATGCAAGTCATGAAGTAAATGAGAATGTGCACAATCACTGAAGGTTTGTTTAAGTGATGAGAGATCCACTTGGTGAATTGAAAGTCCCAAAGTTCTCATCCCACCACAGGCTCATGTGGGTAGCTTGCCTCTCTGTCCCTCCTTACAAATTGAGCTTACTCATGACATGCTTAAATACCTGAGGTAGGTATACAGAGACCCAGACCCCATCAAAAATTGGCAGCTAAATTGTACTTTTATAGTTTTATTGAACAGAAGAGGGAAAAAGAGGATTTTCTGTTTGGCACCACCATGTTTTTGAACGTTTATCTTTGGTAGACCAAAGAGATTTCAGATACGTAGTAAATGTCGAGTAGCTTCTGTATTCCCTTGTATTGCCTCTTCCTTTTTCTGTAAGATGCTAATATTAAGCTTTTCAGTAAAATAGTAGTAACCTCGCTGTTGTAATTTTGTCGTGGAACAGTTCTATGATTTGATATCAGTTACAGAGACACAAAGTAGAGGCTCAAAAGCGGTGAAGACCACAAAGATAAAGAAGAAAAAATCAGGTTCATTGGAGATACCTAGCCTTACACTGTCCCATTTCCTGAAAATGTCCAAAGAAGGGATTTGGTGACCCTGTGGGAGGCAAAATTTGTTGTAAGTTGCAGAACTGGTTGCAATTTCTGGATATGTGAACTCTGTTGCTTAGTCGGAAACTCTCTTATATTTCTGACTGTCAATTTATTTCAAGGATGTTAGGGAATGGCTGTATGTGTAAATAAGTGTCAATTTATTTTCAGTCATTAATAATTTACTTTTAAAAAATAACATCTTTAGTGGTTAAGAGTTTTAAGACTTGTAAACATCAAGCCACACGATCAAAATTTGTACAAAGCGTGTTCTAATTTTTTATTGTTCATGATTGACAAGAAATAAAACTCCTAAAGGGGAAGTTTCTGTGTTACACCAAGACTTGTTTTTGCACTAACATCCAAATTTTGACACTCCTTTGGTCTCATAATATTAGTCCCATAGAAAAAAAAAAAATATTTGTAATATAACATTAAATTACAAAATACTCCGTGATTCAATATTAGTTTACTTTATTTAAGTTCTTTTGTTATTTTTTATTTTGGAAAGCATAAATCATAATGCATAATGTAAGGGGTTGTTAAACGTCGCTCCCATTTTACAAGGGAACGCTTGCATTTTTTCAAAGAGATTTCCATTTTTACCCCTAGCATATAAATACTTACGACTAGGATACTCGTATAAATAGGATACTGGATTAGTGTTGACAACACTAATCCAACACAAAACACTTTAATCCATTTTCACCCTCCATTTGATTTCGATACAAATCTGATAGAACATGATTCAATTCAAAAGAGTTTCAAATATTTGATTATGTTATTAGTGACAACAACATGAAAGAAAGAATTATTAAGGAGTACGTAATCTTTCTAATATATATAGAGTACCAGATTAATAAATTGAAAAAAAAAAAAACTGGAAAAACATATATCCGCCCAAAATAATAGGATCCACCTAGGTGGATCCGCCTATTATTTTGGGCGGATCTCAAATTTCCAGAAAATAAAAAATAAAAAAAAATCTAGAAAAACATACATCCGGTGGATCCTATTATTTTGGGCGGACCTCAAATTTCCAGAAAACAAAAACTTGATAATTTTTTTGGTGGTGGATCGAAAAAAGTGGGTGTAGACACCCAAATGTGTCTCCCCAAAACCAAACCCGGTGATGAATACCTTTCACGTCGAATAATAATCGAATGAAGTGAAAGTGTGGAAAGTCTAGTGTTGCGGTTGGTTTTTAATTTTTTTTCCTTCTCTCAGTTTTTGAAAACCTATTTTATGAAAATAGCCAATCCAGTTTAGTTTGGTCCATAGTAAGGGTTCAATAATAGTGTAGTTGGATCGGGCTCGAAAAGACCTTTCCGACGATTTATTATAAGCCCAATTCCGAAGAATAATGAGTAAATTATGGCCAAATTACTAAACTGGGCTCGGTTTAATTTTTATATGTGGCTCAATGATCTAGAGGAGGGCCTATTATGATTTATCATTCCTAATGCAATTAGGATTAGTTATAGTCTTCTAGAAGGTACTTTTGAATCCTAATGTGATTAGCATTGATAAATTCACTTTTAAGAGTTTTATTTAGAATAAAAGAAGTGTTTTTAAGGAAATTACAGTTTTACCCTTCGTACGCCTAAATTTTATCAAAATATGAAAACGCGTGGAAAGCAGCGCCGCACTACAGGCTGTCGCCTGGCGACAGGCCTGGCGTCGCGGCGATACGTCTGTCGCTTGGCGACAGGCTCTATCGTTTGGCGACAGGGGCGTGTGTGACACTGCAGTCGTGTTTTATTCTTTTCGAAACTCTGATTTTTTTTTTATCATATTCCGGCTGATTTTCGTTATAAATAGCCTCCTAAAACCTCCGTTTTCAATCACCAACTCTCATCAAGAATTTCTTGATTCCTCTCTCTCTTTCTAAACCAACCCTTTTACAAACACAATTCCTCATACATTAGCACTAGACACGCCTAACCAAGTTCGAAGTTGTCTTCGCCCTAGACGTGAAAGGTTTGGTATTTCTGAGGGTTTGGTCCCAAATCTCTATTATTTAATTTAATTGTTTTGTTTATATTTTCGTTGAAGTTGCTAATGTGTGTATTTTGTTATTAGAAAGAGATACGAGGCATCCAAGTAAGTGCTTTAATTGTTTAATTGATGTTATGATATAGAAATCATGTTTAGATTGTTATTTTGATTCCTAGTATCATGTTAGGATGTTTTATTGCTTCCTAGTATCATGTTTAGGGTAACAACTAAAAATTCCTAATATCAAGTATGATTAAAAAAATGCTTCATATTGTCTTTCTTAATAGCATGTTAGTATCATGTTAGGGTTAAAGCTTTGATTTTTATTGTTTAGTGACATGCTAGTGTTTGTTATTAATCTTGTTAGTATCATGCCTAGGATCTTGCTATTATTATGCTTTAACATGTTTATGTTAATTATGATTATTATTTTTATAATTGTTATAATTATGATTATGATCGTTATGATTATTGTTATATTGCTTGATGATTATTATTGTTATTTCTTGATCACGCCTTTTATGCATGTTTAAAGAGAATTTGTACTTGTAATCACGCTTAATAAGATAATTAATAATCTTGTTTAGGGTTAATATGATTATAATTCAAGTGATCGCCAGTAATAGATTTATTTGTGCATTAATATTCAACCAACATAGATAAACAGTTTTAGGATTAACCTATTGATTGCATGTTAGCCAGAAAGCGCACATGAATACGAGAAGAATAAAGTAGAGGCCTATTTTATAGGGCGAATTCTTTCTCTTTTAGATTGGATTTGTACCTTCGTCCCCGAACTTCCAGTCAGGGTTCCAGACCTATTAGAGTTAACGGTCTCTTGGATCGTTGAGGGGTGTAACCTTCACCCGGTGAACGGTTTACAAGTTCCTAAAACTTGTTGGCGACCCTTTTGCTCTAGCTTCCTTCCCTTTGGATGCCACCGTACTTTAGTGTATGATCACAGTGGGGTTCAAGTTTGGGGTAATGCTTGAAATATTCCCAACAGTGGGGTTGGATGTCGTGGGGACCGATACGGTGGGTTCGGGATTCACCTTGCAAAAAGGGAAAAATTGTCCATTCATGTAAAAATGGGAGCGTTCTCTTGTAAAATGGGAGCGACGTTTAGCAGTTCACATAATTTAAGGTAGAGATTTCCTTACTTACAGTCATGTGAGTTAAGACCAAAATTGGGTACTCAATTCTAAAAATTTTCACCGTTTAAGTACTTAATTTATTTTTTTTACTGTTTGGGTGTTGTAGACACCCATTTGTGTCTCCCCAGAACCAAACCCAGTGATGATTACCTTTCACGTCGAATCATAATCGAATGAAGTGAAAGTGTGGAAAGTCTAGTGTTGCGGATAGATTTTAATTCTTTTCTTTACCTCTGTTTTTGAAAACCTATTTTAAGAAAACAGCCAATCCAGTTTGGTTTGGTCCATGGCAAGGGTCCAATAATGGTATAGTTGGATGGGGTTCGAAAAGAGCTTTCCAACGTTATATTATAAGCCCAATTCCGATGAATAATGAGGAACTTATGGCCAAAATACTAAACTGGGCCCGGTTTGATATTTATATGCGGCCCAATGATCTAGAGGAGGGCCTAATATTGATTTATCATTCCTAATGCAATTAGAATTGATTTTAGTCTTCTAGAAGGTTCTTTTCATTCCTAATTCAATTAGCATTGATAAATTGACTTTGATTGACTTTTTAGAGTTTTAATCAGAATAATAGAGTGTTTTTAAGGAAAATACGATTTTGCCCTTATGTACGGCTAAATTTTATCAAAACTAAGAAAACGCGTGAAATTAATGACTAGCCTGACGACAGGGATTAGCGTCTAGCGCTAATGCTTGCGCCTGGCGCTAGTATTAGCGCCTGACACTAACCTGTTTTATTCTCGTCGAAACTCTTATTTGTTTTTCTATTCATCTGGATGATTTTCTATATAAATAGCCTTCTAAAATCTCCGTTTTGGATCATCAACCCTCTAGTTTTCTAATTATCTTCTCTCTCTAAGCTAAAGCTTATTCTCTCTCTTTTCTAAACCAACCCTTTTGCATACAAAATTCCGCATTAACAAGATCTAGAAACACCTAGCCAAATTCTAAGTTGCCTTCGTCTAGACGTGAAAGGTTTGATTTATGAGGGTTTAGTCCCAAATCTCTATTTCAATTATTTAATTTAATTGTTTGATTTATTATTTTCCTTGAAGTTACTAACGTGTGTATTTTGTTATTAGAAAGAGGTACGAGGCATCCGAGTAAGTGCTTTAATTGATTTATTGATATTATGATATAGAAATCATGTCTGGGTTATTATTATGATTCCTAGTATCATGTTAGGGCGTTTTGATCTTTCTAGTATCATGTTTAGGGTAACAACTATAATTTCTAATATCAAACATAACAATTGTGTTTCTTGCGATGCTTCCTATTCTCTTCCTAATATTCATGTTAGTATCATGTAAGGGTTAAAGCTTTGATTTTTATTGTTTAGTGACATGTTAGGGTTTGTTATTAATCATGTTAGTATCATGCCTGGGATCTTGCTATTATGCTTTAATTATTTTTATAATTGTTATGATTAATTATGATGATTATGATTATCATTGTTTACTATTATTATGTTGCTTGATTATATTTATTTATTGCTTGATCACACCTTTTATGCATGTTTAAAGGAAATTGGTACTTGTAATCACGCTTAATAAGATAATTAATAATCTTGTTTAGGGTTAATTTGATTATAATTCAAGTGATCGTCAATAATAGATTTAATTGTGCATTAATATTCAACCAACATAGATAAACAGGTTTAGGCTTAACCTATTGATTGCATTTTAGTTAGAAAGCGCACATGAATACGATCAGAATAAAGTAGAGGCCTATTAATAGGGCAGGTTCAATCTCTTTTAGGTTGGATTTGTACCTTCATCCCCGAACTATCAGTCATGGTTCCAGACCTATTGGATCTGACGATCTCTTGGATCTTTAAGGGGTGTAACCTTCACCTCGTGAACGGTTTACAAATTCCTAAAACTTGTTGGCGACTCTTTTGCTCTATCTTCTTTTCCTTTGGACACCACCGTACTTTAGTGTATGATCACAGTGGGGTTCAAGCTAGGGATAATGCTTGAAATATTCCCTACAGGTACTGAGACCCAATTTTCGGCCAAAAAAATAAATTCCCCCAAAGAATTGAGTACCTTGGGTTAAGAATTTAGTACCTTTGGTTAAGGTATGTGGGACCCACCCAAAAAATAAAGCGCGTGTTTGGATTTTCCCCAAAAAAATTTGTTTCCCTTTTCTTATTCTTTTATTCCCCTTTATTC